ACTGGGAAGGCAGCGGCTTTGATCGGCTGGAGAGCTGGGGGCGGGGGGAGAGGGGGCGTTCGGCCGCGCCTTGCCGGCATATGTTCTCCCTGCGTGATGGCGGCGGCGGCAGCGGGGGGTGGCGGGCCGGGCGCCCAGCGCCTCTCACGCGATGGCCGCCTATCGTGCCGGGGAAGGGTGTCGTGCGGCGCGGCGGTGAGATCAGCGCGGATCTCCGCGGCGGGGGCGGGGAGGAGCGGCAGTCACGCAGCGGCGGGAAAGGCGGTGGAGTAGTGACTGATCCCCCCTGGCCCCGGCGGCTCCCGCTGAGGGTTATCCAGTCCTGGGGTTGGGAGACCGTGTCCAGGGGGGTTAACGGGAGCCTGTCCTGGGGGTACTTTTCTTTGTCCTTTTTATGCAAGCATGTCAAAAGCATGGGGATTGGAACTAGATGAGCTATAAGGTCCCTTCCAACCCAAACCGTTCTGCGATTCTGTGGCTGAAGAGAGCCTGTGCTAGGGGTGCTGATGCCCTGGTGGGAAGCACGGCGCAGAAGTTGCTCAGGCCATGCTCTGCTCTGAAGTGGCTCTTTCACCCCTGCAGGAAGCCCACACAGGATCCACACTCCACCCCATCCATGCATCCGGGTGGCCTAGGACTCCAGTGGGTTGAGGGGGGGTCTGCCTGCCCCTGCCCGGTTGCAGGGAGGCCAGCGGCGGTCCAGCCGTGCCTCACGGTGTGGTGTGGCGGCAGGCCTGCGTGCGTGCCAGACTCAGTGACCGGGACCGCTCGAGATCAGGTTCCCGGCAGTGTGAGCAGCTCCAAGGACAAACGAACAGACAAGAAATGAGTGCGTGACACGCAGCAGTCATGAGCCAGCTATTTCCATTGTTTTCTGGCAGGCTTTGTACCTTCTCAGACACACGTGGGAAGCCTCCCGCTGCTTAGAAATCCCAGCCCCCGGGAGCAAAGTCCATGCCCAGTGTGCAGCTATGGAAAAAGGCTAATAAACACAAACACTCTCTTCCCACAAAGCAGGAGCACCCGGGGTGTGTCTGTACGGGTGAATAGGCGTGCCTGCACCTGCAGACTTTCCTGGGTAAAAGAAATCTTGGTCTAGGCTGTCTTCCCATTTGTTCAGTACAACGATGAACACTGGGAAGTGGTTTTGCAGCGTTGTCTGTAAACAGCTCCTCTGGGAGAATGCTGGCAGTTCCAGTTTTGCGAGGGAGGAGCAGAGCTCAAACGCTTAATCGCTCAGACTTGCAGTGCCGTAGGTGGGGGGGGGGGGGGGGGTTGGGGGGTGGAGATGGAGGAGCAGGAGGGGTCCCTGTGCTGGGGCCTGCTGCAGAGGCTGACACGAGGAGGAGAGATGGCAGGAGACGTGCAGAGGGAGGGGTCAAGGGAAGGACAGGGCTTGCACTGGGTACCGCAGCGAGGTTATTTCTGGTGCTGCATGCACATTGTGTTTGTTCCCGTTTTCAGGCTGTTTTGTTTGCGAGATTTGTTTGGTTTGCTCTGCTCCTCGTCTTTGCAAATGTCACAAGGACAAGATCATGGTGGGAGAGAAGCCTCCATGTAAGGATGTTTGGAGGAGAAATCTGAGCATGAGGGTGACCTGGGAGTCAAGGTCAGGCAGGTCATTCTGCACAAAGGGGCAGCAGAAGAAACTCTCTAAGGCAGTGTGAAAATGGTGAAATCAGGAAAAGCATCGAGGGGCAGGGTACTGGCAGTACACGCAGAAAGGTAGGGGTGAGATGATGGTACCAGACTCTGAAGGCACCGTGAAATAGAATAGCGCTAGCTGAAATAGAATGAAATAAGAGCGTGCTAATGACAATGGAGAACGCGAGGCAGAGATCAGATCCTGGGGGAGGAGATCCCAGTATTCACACTAGACAGTGCCAAATTAAAGTCAAGCTTTTGGCTTCAAGAGCACATGAGGTGAATCAGAGGAGGAATCTGTATGATTAAGCAGCAGCTGAGTGCCAGAAGTGAAAAGCTGTCAAGGATAATATCAGGAGGGTATGTGAGGAGGACAGTGTATTTATTTGCCATGGTAGAAAAGGATCTGAAAGGGGATACAAGAAGCTTGTACTGAATCTGAGTTGGCAGCAAGAGAACTTGGGAAGGGTGCCAGGAAAAGTGTCACAGATACAAGGCTTCTGAAGTGAGAAAGGAATACGGAGTACAGAGGCAGCTTCAGCAGCCAGGCGGTTAGGACTGGGCATGGAGGGTAGGAGGGCACAGACAGCCACCTAGCAGGAAGTGATTTGGGGAGGGAATGACCAAGCAAAAGCCCTGAGAAGTTGGTGCAGAAGGTTCAAAGTTTTGTTCTTTATCTTTAAGGCATTCAAGGGCCTTGGCTCAGCATATCTGAAAGATCACCGAAATCTCCGGGACGATGATGATGGTGGCACTTCTGATGGCTCCTTGGGCAAAACAGAACTTTTACTGTAAGGGTGAGATTCATCTGTGCCAGCATTTTCCCAGGGGCCTGCTAGGAAACCTCCAGAGGAGCTCAAAACCACCATCAATCTTTCCCCTTCCCCTTTCCCCATCCAGGAGCAGAGTGATCTGCTTTTTCCTAGTTTAAACACACAAATCTGTAGGAAGGAAAACATTTATACTGTTGGCTTTAAAAAAAAAAACAACAAACCCAACAAACCTGAAAATCTTACTGAAATAGATCCTGCACACAAAGCACTCCCCACTGAGAGGGTGAGAATGGATGAAATGAGATGGATGTTACTTACGGTCTTAGCTACTAGAAGAAGTATCAGGCAATGATGAAGGAACTATGGAAACATTGTGAAACAGGAAAAGATAAAGAGAAAAGCAAATTAAGGAAGCCTGCATGTTTAGAAGACAGAGCATACCAAAGAGGATGGTGAGGCTGACTTGAATTGAAGAGGCAAGATCAGTACATATACATCATTCTGAGAGCCAGCATGCAAGAACAATGCATCGGTCTCCCAGCTGAAGTGAACGGGATTATCCATATGCATAAGGAATATTGAGAGTCTGGGTTTGAAAGCCCTGAAGTTGTTAGATCTACTGCTGACACAGTTCTGGAGCTTTACTTGGCTTCCACTCCACCACAACATAAATAAATAGTATGTATAACAGCATATAATACTTCGCAGTAGATTAGGCTACTCCTTCCTCCCCGTTACTACATCATGATTTGCGATCGCAGTGCAATGTCCCAGCACATCCTGATAGGAAAATGCAAATGTTGCATTTCCGCGGCATGGCCTGACAATTTGTATTTATCTCCCACAAACAGATAACACCATATGTATGCTGATGGAATGTGGTTGCTACAAACTTGTTAAAATAGAGGCATATACCTTGGCATGTGGAACTTGGATGAAAGTAAGATTTTTCTTGCTCCACTGCTGTTATGACCAGCTGCACTGCCTTCAGCAAATGCATGGAGCAAGAGAGGGCTCAGCAGTCATGGCCTGTGGAATGTAACCAGAATTGCTGCTCTGGTGCTGGCTGAGTGTCAGTTCATGAGAGCTCATGTAGTTAAATGAATTGCAGCAGGCATCACCACCATAATGCAAGAGGGACCTAGAACAGAAACCAGTGGAAGAAGTTACAAGGTGGTTGCTTCAGGTCTCTTGTCACATAAAAAGAGTGTGATGACCTACTTGGCACCCCAGTTCATCGCATTGATTTAGCTCTCATTTCTGCGAATTACCCATCAGCAAGTCATGGTTTACATAATCTGTTTTCTGCTTGTAATTACCCTAAATGGTTTAAGAAAGGAAATTTTAGGTCTTGAAGTATTCAAGAAAGAAAATACTTGCTTTAAAAGTTCTAGGTTTCTTTGCCATTCATCCTGAAAAAAAGATATTGAAAAATTTGGCCCATTTAGCAGGAGAAGGCCCAGAACTGCTGAGATATTTGAGAGCATGAGGGCAGGCTACAGTATGTTACTAGAAGTGCACACACAAAGAAGTATTCATATCCCCTGCTAAAAGCATACCTAGTGCCAGCCTTTCACCAGCAGCGTGTTCCTTGTGAGGCTCCAAGAGAGGTTCAGCACATGGAGTGACTTTAGTTCTGCTGTGTGATTTCTGCACTGCTTCACCCTGAGGTAAGGTTTACGACAGGTTAACGTCCAGCTGTTTACCAGAGCCTGGTGCCTGTGGTGTATTTTAGCTGCCTGGCAGCTTGTCTCTAGGGAAGAGTGGGAGGTCAGCAGTTCAGAGGCAGGCAGAGAAGTGTTCTGATGTGCAAAGCAAAGTACTGCTGAGGACCGAGTCCACCCTGTCTTCCTTTGCTGACAGCAGCAGGCCTAGTCAGGAGAGCTGGCGAACTTGACCCATACAGAAAAGAGATGATTGTGAAATTGGAAGGCATTTCCCTGTCACTGTAGAGTCACTAAAGGGAACAACCATATTTTCTTCCTGTTTAAGTAATATTTCACCAGTAGCCCTGCACCCATCTCTCGTGAAACTGCAGCAACAATTTTCAAGCCATGTTGGCAAGCCATGGTGATAAAATTTGCCCAAGCTTTTTTATGGTCTGAAATAAAGAGGCTTTCAAGCAGGCACAGGGCTGGCTGTGCTGAGCCTGGGCTCTCTGCAGGATCCTGTAGTGCCAGAGGCTGCATAAGGCTGGACTGAGAGGAGACACAGCCAAGGCCTCCTTTGCTGAAAGCCCACTGAGGCTGCAGCCACAGAGCTACAAGTGAGGGCACAGTGGAAGATTCCCCAGGTATGTCACAGGGATAAAATTGCTCCCCAGGGAATCTGGAACAGCAAGGTACAACTTTCATCAGTACATATGCAAGACTGAACCTTGCTGGGAAGTCAGGCTTGAACTGGGGTTTCATTGGAGTGACTAAGAGGGTGCTGCCACACTCTCTGGGTCCATCCTGAAGTGCAGTAGCTCATGGCTTAAACTCAAATGTATTCACGTTTCACGCAGGAGTATGCATACCCACATCACACCACACAAGGGATATTTGCAATACATAATTCTCCAATTATGCATAATACTGCAAATAAAATAAAAGTAAATTTATTCCCAGTGGTTGTGGCAAGTGCTTTAGTGATCCTCCATTTCACTGCAGAAACAATTTCATTGCAAAAGAGTTTTCAAATTGTGATGGTGAAAAGCAACAGAGTCTCCAGCTGCATCAGTAAGAGCAGCAGGCTCCAAGCATGGGGCTGTCACAGGGGATTAGTCATGTTCTTAGCCACAGGAAAGCCGAGAAGAACAAATCTTGCATCCTATGGTTAGCAGGTTCCTTTCACAGTCAGTGTTTTTCTTCCCTGAAGAATACAAGATTACACAAAAATGTGAGCTTCCTGACCTTTACCTGATGGCCTTTCTTTCCAAACATGGGAGAAAATGCTGAGTTTCTGTTTGGCAAGGTGTGCAGAAGGCCTCTAGCTAAACCAAGGAGCTACTGGTGAATGCCTTCTTCCCTCATCAGGGTCTGAGGTGCCTGGCAGCCCACTGGGCCAGGCTGGGAGCAGCTCACCAGGATAGAATCTGTCCCACTGTTCTGGCACTCTTCCTTTTTGCCATCCCTCATCAGGAGGGCACCACACTGAATAGCAGAACCCCCCTTTCTAAGGTCCAAGTCAGATAGGAATCAAAGACTGCTATTTTGGAGTTCTGCACTGTTTTACTTGCTGAGCCATATTTTACAACCTAAGTGCTTGCAGAATAAAAGTGCTCCCATGCTGCTGTTAGCTCTTTGTGAAATACCCCTTTGAGTACACGTTACAGTATCTTAGTTGATACTGCAGTAGATACTCAGCATAGTAACTTTAAGTGCAACAATGACACAGTCACGTAAATGGAGGATCAGCACTTCCTGCTGGGGATACAAGTCACATTCCCCACCCCAAGATTAAAGGCACATTAAATATTTATATAGCTGTCACGTATAGAGGCCCCATCAGGATTAAGGTCCACAGTACTTGTGCTCTAAAAACTTATGATAAGAACCAGTCCCTGCCCTAAAAGAATGCAGCCCCAGCTCAGGCTTACCTGCTGCCTGGGTGGTGGTTTGCCTGAGCCCCAGTTTCATAAACTTTGTGCTTGTGGAAAGTCCAGTTATCAGTGGTACTAAAGGGGTGGAGGTTTTGTTTTAATGCTGAATTCTGGCCCCTGTTTATTTTACAGATGAGCACCCTTCACTAAAAATGCCTGACTTTTGTGAGATGCACTATTCCTGAAGTGGGCAGGATGGGAGCTGGGAAAAAAAAAAAAAAACAAACACAAAAAACCAACAAAGCACACAGCACAGGGGACGCTTTCTGCATTGAGAAGTATCTCTTCTCATGGAACAACTTTTCCTGATTACAAGAAGAGGATTTATGGTAGGTAGAAGCAGAGTCCTTGACTGTGGGAGGTCTGCATTCAATTTCTATTTCTCAGACATCCTAGGCAAGTGACTGCTGCTTTCTTGTGCAACTTCTCTGCTATCAAATATTGCTGCTTCTCCCAGGCGTGTTGCAGGCATTAGCAGAGCCAAGCCTGCCTCAGGCGAGCAGCCTGTGTGTGGCAGTGGGATGGGCAGGCTTGCTCACTGCCAGTCATGGAAGTTAACCACTGGTTTCACAACTGGAAGAGGCCTCAGCAGCAGCAGGGCAGGAAGCAGAACTGGTGGCTGGAAGTGACTAAGCCCAGGACTGGGGATGGGGTGAGAGAAGCAGCCTGGCACTGCCTGTACAGGAAATCCTGGAAGCATGTGACCTTGAAGGGAAATGCAGGGATGGGATTTGGACCTCTCACAGTCTGGGACAGCAGTGGCATCAACAGGACGTGTCTCCTAATACAAGACTGCCTGTGGGAATACAGCCTTGCAAGTAAATACAGTCTAGTACTCAGCAGTCCAGGAATGAGTATAACATGTTCCTAACCATAATCTTTATCCACATCTGGAAGGTTATCGAATGTCTTCTAGCAACTTAAAGCCCTTGCTCCCCATGGTGCCTGCTGAGCCTGAAGTGGTTAGCTTTAGAACAACAAAGCAAGTGAGGCCAAGCTCACCATTACCTCCAGCCTGACTTGTGGCTCATAGCATGCCATAGGAAAATCCTTACGTGAGGCTCTGGGCATAAAGCTCAATGACACAGAGCTGCAGGTACAGCACATCACTGCAGGCCAAACTGCAGAGGAGTAAACCAAGCACAATACCTGCTGCTATTGCTGCATTTGTGCCTTTCTTTCTGTTGCTGCTTCCCATGACCTGCTTATTTATGTGCACATTCCTGTACATTATCGTGCTGCAGCACAGTGCATTAAGGAGTGCTCGGGCATTTGTGCCAGCGTATTGGCTGGAACTTCATTAGCCTCTGGGGATCTGCATGTGAGATGAGTTTAGGTCTCTAATAATCTGTTCATAGGCTGCTGCCTCACACTCTGCATGCATTTTCAGTGGTACACAAATTGCCTGGTTTGATTTGCTTTGATTAACAGGTTACCCCAGAAATCCCAGCATGGTGAGCTCTTCCCCTTGAGCACAGAGCAGAGGGCTGCTCTGAACAGCTCTGCTGAGCTTTGTCCCCCTGAGAAGGATGTTCATCCCAGTGAGATAACGGCAGCCCTTTTGGCCTGTTCCAGGAACTGGCTGTCACAGTCCTTGCTGGACCACATCTGCACAGCTGTGTTTTTGAGAGGCACTCTGAGGGCACTGTGCCAGGGAACTGGTGTGGTGCACTGAGAGCCTTTCCCTGGCTGAAAGCAAGCTGTACAGAGTGATGCCATGCCATGCATGCTGCTGCTCTGCATTCCCAGCACTGCCTGTGCTCCCTGCTAACCATGAATGTCAAAGTGCCCGGAGCTGCCATTTTCTTTATTTTAAGGATGGCAGTGACTAGCATTTAGGTGTCACCTTTCAGAGCTCTTAAAAATAGAAGTTTAAAAATGGCTTCATGTAATCCTTACTACCTTCCTGGCTTAGAGGCTGAGAGGAAGACACCAGCCACATTAGCAATTAGAGTGTTTTGGAGCTCTGGTCCAGAGAGAAGCATAATTACAAGTTTTTTGCACAGAACCTTTTTCCTTCACAAGCTGCACAAAAAGTGGTACAACAGAACAATTCACATTTCACAGCAAAACAGAGATGGGTTGCTCAGACAGTAGCAGACCTGGAAGAGGATCTGGATCCAGAGATCCAGAGATCCAGATCCTTCAGTTCATTTCAGCCTATTTTGGTATGGGTTCCTTGCCTTGCAATAAATGTATGATCAATAAAAGATAATTCTGTCAAGATGTTAAAGGTAATTAGACATACAAGAGTCATCATTTATGTTTTCAAAGATTTAAAGATCCCTGCAGAATGACTGCCTTCTGCCAGTTCTCCTTTACAAGGATCAGAAAATACTCCCATTCCTGATTTCTTGAAAACCAGCATTTCCCAGCTGTATGTATCATCAGTAAATCAAATAGAGACAAATCTTGTCTCTCGTTTCCAGTTAAGCCTGTCATGTTATATGGCACTACATAATATCTCAAGAAACCAATACAGCTGATCTGACATGTCATTACTGCAAAAGGAAATGAAACAAATGAGGATTTATGAAAGAAGGCCCAGTTTTGGCACCAGTCATGGACTTCCTGGCTAACTGCTAATACCAAAGTGCAGATCATCTATTTTATGTTAGCAAAGGGAAATCCCAGTAATTCATACCACAGCATTGAAGCACAGGATTCTAAAAATAGCATTAAAGAGCTGGACTGGAAACAACAATAAAAATGAAAACTAAAACCTTGTCTTTTTGCTTGCTTACTTTCTTGAAAATAAGAATGTTAATTTCAATCCCAAGAGCTAATTTCAAAATGATAAGGCCTAAAAGGCAAGATGAGAATATCAGAATAGCCAGATGGCCCATGTGGGACGGCCACAGGAGCCTCTTCTCCCTGTTTGGCATGGCTTCTGCTGCAGACGTGTCCTTGGTAGCTGGCAAGGTAGACGAGGTAAACAAGGCTGCTCTCCGCTGATTTGGGAAGTGAGGACAAGCAGGGAGAGGACTGATGTGCCACAGACAGTCAGGGGATAAAGATGACACCCCTAGACTCTTTCTCCCTGGGTTTTCTCATGGATCTCCCTGTCCTCCCACTCAATTTCCTCCAGAGGTCTAACTCTCTCCTTCCTCTATACCCAAATGTATTCACTGTCTCCCACCATTTTTGGCATCCCTGTGCTCAGCCTTTGCTTTGCACCAGCTGACACACTAATTAGAGCTTTTACCAAGCTAAATCAGTGTACTACAGATGAGAATGGAAGTAAGCTCCAGCCAGGGCATGGCACAATTCAAAGTAACTGGGTTTCAAAATTGAATTAATGAGATCTATGCAATTCCTCCAGAGCCGATGTTTAGCCTGTGCGTTATTTGGAGGAAGCACAATGAACTGGGTCTTGTCCTGTGGTGAGCCTAGATCAGTGAGACCTGTCTGGTGCAGAGCAGAGATGCTGGTGGAGAGAAGTGGACTTGAAGGGTGAAAAGTCAGGATAAAATCACGGCAATTCAGATACATAATCCGGGCTTCATGGCTTTCAGAGTTCAGTTTCTTTTTTGTTGCCTCCTCATTGGAGAACATGTAAATCCTCACACAGAAACATCGCAGAGGACAAATCATCAATATAGGTATGAAAAAACATTCCACAGAATAGCAGCAGAGAACACAAATACTGTCAAAGATGACTGCAGGAAAGGACAGAGAGTACTGGGGTAGTTCTGAGACTTTCCAGGTCTCCAAGAATTCCCCACAAATACAGCTTTCTTTCATTTAAAAAAAAAAAGTACTGAGTTGAATTTAGTAGGGTTATATACTGCCTCGTGTTCCCCTTCTGCATCTGGGTGTTCTGCAAGGGGGCAGTGGGAAGGCATCACACAGCAGAAGATAACACATTACAAGCTGGCGAACAGCAATGGGAGGCAGTTCGTGGTGGGATTCCAGCTAGATGAAAAGATTGCTACTGCACAGGGGTATTTTTCTATTTAAATCTTGCATTTGCTTAGTATTTTCAAAACTTGCTTTTTTAAAAAGGAGGGTGGTTTCCCAGCCTCCATGTGCTTTTTTGTGGTTTCATCATTCCTTTTCAACTGCGTTAATTTTTCCCATGATCCCGATAATTAATCTACATTGATACATGCTGAATTCAGATACTTCACTGTTTGACCTGCAAATTCATAGTGTTTGTTCCAATACAACGCAGGTCTCTCACTCCAGGGTGCTGGGGGTGTATGGTAATACAATACAAGGCTGAGGAACAGCTTCACTGCTGAACCTGCCTCCTCTTACAGTTACATTCCCTCAAATCCACAGGGAGAGAAAGAAACAGGGAAGAATTTTTTCATGCTGAGGGCCCTTCAGATACCGTTGGGAGACCACACATAAAAACACATCTAATGTTATCCCACCATTAATGTGGGAAAAATCAAGCATCCTTCGCCCAGAGAAATGATGTCAGGGGCTGCAGGTTTCTCATGGTTGTCTTAAATATGCAGTGTCTTTAAAAATACCATCTCAGGTTGTTTGAGGGTAGGTGGGACTCACAGCATTGTCCCAGGAGATGAGCAATCCTTGTAGCATAATTGTCCCAAGGAGATCCTCTGGGTGCTCTTCTACATTTGACTCCCTTTACAAGCGCCTCTTCTTTAACAGGTTGAGAAATAAATGTTTATGAGAATTTCTAGTGTTTTTCCCTCGGAAACAGTTTCTCAGGGAATTATACTGTCTGAGTGGAAAAGGTCAGGCCCATGGAGTGGAGTATTTATACAGCTGGCTGATCACATTGCCTTTGTATAGTTTTTCCAGAGGTCTAGTTATACATGGACCTACAAATTCATTCTCAAACCTGACTCATTAAAATTCATTAAGTAAGCACTTTGGTATGGCAATATCTAGGATTACTTTTCCATATTTTTAGCATTCTTGCTGTTCCATAAAATTTAGCAACTCAGAACGAAAGCTGCAGAAAGAGCGAGCTAGTAAGGTCCTCCTGTAAGGGTCTGTTCTCTGTTGGGTGTGCATATATGACTCCCATTAGTGTTAACTGGCCTTACAGAGGCACAGTAAAACCAAAATGTATACTGGAAGACAGAAAAATCTACATAATTTGTCCAGACATGTAATGATCCCTTGTTCCACAGTTGGGGTTGGTGACAGCCTTATTTAATACAATAGCTATAGATTTTTTTGCTTTATCTGCCTTCAAAAGCCTCCATATAGGTTACAGATGAAAAGATGGCCAAATAAATTCA